ATGGCGCTCTCATCAAGACTGTCCCCCTTGGTTCACCATGCCACGACCCCAACTACGACGAGGCGGCTTGCGCTGCCGTCAAGGATTCGTGGAAGTGGCCCATGACACAGTAGGTTCTCCAAGCTTTCTAGCGCAGGGCGCCACCAATTAACCCTAATTAGCATCGAGACTTCATCGTCGGTGATGCAGAATTGGTTCGCCAATCAGAGCTGTGACGCTTTCACTGCGGAGGAGAAACCCTGCACCCTTGGAAACTACGTGAGCTACGCCGTAAAGGTCTCGAATGCTCGCCAAGTAGCTGCCGCCGTTCAATTCGCAAACTACTACAACATCCGGCTAGTCGTCCGAAACACGGCGCATGAGTACGTCTCGACCCCAGATTTCAGTTCGATAACCTTATTAACTTTATCGCTTTTAGCTACTTTGGTCGATCTACTGGTGCTGGCGGCCTCGCTGTCTGGACTCATCATCTCAAGAACACTGAGGTCGTTCAATGGGCTGACAAGACTTACAACGGCCCTGCTTTCAAGCTTGGTGCTGGTATCCAGGGTTTTGACAGTGTTGAGTATGCCGACTCACAGGGACTTACCAGCGTCCCTGGTGAGTGCCCTACTGTAGGCCTTGCTGGCTTTACTCTGGGCGGTGGTCACTCTCCCCTCAGCTCCAGCTACGGTCTTGGTGCTGACAACACCCTCGAGTTTGAGGTTGTCACTGCTGCTGGTCGTATTGTTCGTGCCTCTGCCACTGAGAACAGTGACCTTTACTGGGCTCTCAGCGGCGGTGGCGGTGCCAGCTTTGGTATCGTCACTTCTATGACTGTGCGAGCTCACAAGACCACTACCATCGGTGGTGCCACTCTTACGCTCGTTGCTGGCACTGACAAGGATGTTTTCTACAACGCTGTCGCCAAGTTCCACGAGCTTCTGCCTGCCATGATTGATCACGACGCCACAGTCACCTACATCCTCACCAGCGCCTATCTCTCCATCAAGCCTGTCACCATCGCCAACTCCACTGGCGACTATGTCCGTGATGAGGTTCTCGCTCCTTTCACAGACTATCTCTCCAAGGCCGGCCTCACATCCACCGTCTCATACACTACTTTGAGCTTCCGTGACCACTACGAGCTCTACAACGGCCCTCTGCCCGGTGGCCACCTGGAGGCCTCTCAGTTCCAGTTCGGCGGTCGTCTTATTCCCAGATCTGTTCTTGAGACTGACAACGCCAATTTCATCAAGGTTCTGCGCAACTTTGGTACCGCCGGTGTGCTCGTCGCTGGCAGTAGCGGCAAGTTTGAGGCCTACCCTGGCGTCTCCAACGGTGTCCCTTCCTACTGGCGCAAGGCCGCTATATCCCTGCAGTTTGGAACTCTCTGGGACTCGACTCGCTGGGCCGACATGATCGCTGATCAGAAGAAGATCACCGAGGTCTACACGCCCCAGCTTAAGGCTGTCACTCCCGGCAGTGGCACCTACATGAACGAGGCTGACTTCAACGAGCCTGATTGGAAGAACGTTTTCTACGGTACAAACTGGAACCGTTTGAACACTATCAAGAGGAAGTGGGACCCCAACTCCTTCTTCTATAACTTCAAGGGTGTTGGTAGTGAGGCTTGGACTGTGGCCAATGATGGTCGCATGTGCAGGGCGTAAGACTTGTAATGACTTCTATTAGTACATATTTCAATTGTATCATACAATTTAGCACTCATAATCTGCATAGCATGGGGTATTGGCATTCCACGGGGTATATATTACTAGAATTCTGGACGTCCTATCTTGATACAGCTTTATCCTTCATGTGTCGTGCTTCTGAACAGTATTCTTCGATGACACAGAGTGACGAAACCCATTAACCGAGACCGAATGCTACACGCTCTAGGCATCTATGGCACAGTCCTTGCATTATGTCGTAGCAACAGGTCAAGTTCAGCGCATCTTATGTGAAAAAGGGAACAATCTATTGAAGTCTGAATATATATATCTCGAAAGGAATGAAGGAGATGTAAAAGGTAAATGCAATCCCAGCCCGAAACCTATTCTATCCCGTAAACCACCACTACCTCTTCGCCAATGTAAAACCAATATCCGTCAAAGCCCGTTGTGACAATGCCTGGCACCTCATATACTAAGCCGCTTAGAAGCCACCGTTGGGGTTGGGGTTAGGAATGACCTTGCCACCCTGCTGAACAGGGGGGATGACTGACTTGACAGTCTCAGCAGCGAGCTCCTTGTGTCTTCGGAGGCTGAAGTCCTGGTTATCAAAGTTCTGGTTGATCACACCAACCATGCCATTCTGGCAATGGTTTCCCATCTGCTGAGCGCAGTAGTACCAAATAGGCTTGGAGTCCTCAACCACAATTTGGAAGACATCGGGAGCCTGACCCTCCTGGGTAGGGAAGTTGAAGCCGGCGAAGAAACCGTTGCCGTCGGCGAGAGGCTGGCAGGGCTCCCCGAAGCTGGACTGGGCGACAGTGTGGTTCTTGGGGAGGAAGTGCCACTCGACAATGTCGCCGACTTCAGCGACAACGTTGTCGGGGTCGAAGCGGAGACCACCGAGACCGGCGTTGACGGAGTGGGTTACACCGGTGAGAGTGACGGTCTTGTCGGGTGTTGAACGGACAGTCTTGGAAGCGGGTGCCGCGGAGACAGTGGCAGCAAGGAGGAGAGTAGCTGAGACGATCTTGGAGAACATTTTGATGGTTTGTGAGTTATGACGTTGAAAATGAAGTGAAGTTGAAGTTGTTGAGTAGTGTGAAAGTGCAAGTTGCTTGATTGTTAGTGTTGTTGTGATGATGATGAGAATATTGCCAGTAGACCGAATATCTCATTCATTATATAGACAAATGAATCTATGTAAAATCCATTTCAAATTCATAAAAGTCATCATCATCATCATAGTGTAACTCGTCTCTCTGTGCCACCGCCTCAGCTGGGAATAGCAACCAGCTGTCCAACTCAGCCATCACTGGAAGAGCTCACCTCCGAGACCTGTTAACCAAGGACTCTCTCCAATTTCATTGGCCAAAACATGATTCTAGCATGGCTGAGGGGAGCTGACTGTTTCTCGGCATTCAGTGAGCTGTAAGCGTGGTTAACACTAGCCCCCAAAGACTGCGCCTCAACGTGGAATGAATGATGAGAATCTTATTTTTATCTGAGTAAGAGCCTTTCTATTGGTCGGAGCATGGAAGTGATTTTTGACAGGCTGCTTATGTTTTCAAGCCATGGGATTTGTTTGTGCGATGCTGGTGCTTGTCAAGTCGGGGAAGCTTACTTTGCATGGTGATGCCTGTATTGCCGACTATCCGAATACCATGCTTTTCTTTTCTTTTCTGTCAAGGGATTAGATTAAAATAGGAAGATACCCTGATTGCACAGGCCCGGCCGCTTCGGGTTTGACGACATCCGGCGCTATAATCGTCAAAGCTTTCTATACCGCCAGGTATTATAATCTCACTCAGCGGTGTCCTTACCTTCAAAGCGCCAAGCTCTTGGATTGCCCCCGATGCTCAATAAGCAAAGATTCCCCCGAAGGGAAGACAAAATCCCCAGACACCTACTTCAGTACTCAAAGTCAGAACGAGCGATCACGCTGGGACAGCATCGCATGGAATTGACAGTTCTGGTTAAGTGGCACGGCCCCCATATTATTAGCATCAGTTCTAAGAACATAAAGTTTTTGACCCAATGGGAATGTCTCTCTGTAGTGCACGGCATATGCGTGGTGGCAGTGACCAAAGTCCTTTCTCAGCATTAGAGCAGTTCTGAGCTGGACTGACGGGCTTGACGTGTCGTCAGCATTCAATGGCTGCATGGATGAATAACACAAAGTGAAAACATCAGCTGGGACTAATGACACCAAAATTACTCTATCCTACAGAAGATGAATCCGTGTGCAGTAGCTGTGTACTCGTTCTAAGTTTAGTGTCAGTCTTGACCGTCGGGGCTCAGCCTCACGGACATTCAAGCATTACACTTGTAACCCGTCATTCATGTATGACCCCGTAGCATGTCATATCCGACTTCCAGTAAAATCGCTGGTGGCTTGCTGTAGCCTTCTTGAGTCGCTGGCCGACTGAATCTACTCAACCTTGATATAATTAACAAGACCTTTCAGTAGGATCAGACAGCTTCATGTTTCCTCTTGGTCACGCAAGGATCCCTGGTTTCATTCTAATAATACTGCCATACAAGATATCGGAATCGGAAAAGAGAAGATGAGGCTATATTTATCTCAATAGACGTGTTAAGCAATCGCTCGAGACCACGTCCAATCCTCCAAACCGCTGTGGAGATCGACCGGTTGCCCATGAAGGCTCCTTTGAGTCTGGAAGTACATTCTGCCCTTTGAAAGCGGAAACTGGAACAATGAATGTACTAAAAGCGGTTAAGTTGGTATTCTTGTCATGGGAGTTATTTATCTTACCCCTCGTTCAAATCGAGAACCTTGAACACGTGGACTGCATCGTTGAATGTCTTTTCGGACCAGCTGACCGAGTCCCTGTTCCTCGATCATGAGTCAAGGCAGGGAAGATTTGACATTATCCACTTACATCTTATTAATCACAATTACCAACCTCTCACGTGGTTGAAGCTCGCCGTTTGACAACGTAGCTGCTAGTTTCTGAGCTGATGTGGCCCAGGTTAACGGATCTGAGCCATCAACAACCCAAATAGCAACATCAGGCGTTTGACTCTCTGAATAGCATCCATCAGTAATTGTCTAAATGAACAGGGAGATTGATCTCATACTTTCGACTCTAAAGAGGCCCGATGGAGCATGGAAACATAGAGGCTGTCCTCTTCCCTCATAGAATGGCATAATGTCCCCATAGTGAATTCCTTTCCGTTCAAGTTCCTCCAATTGTGACAGCTCAAGTCCGCACTACTGAAAGTTAGGATGAAGACTTTCAAACATCGAGATAATAAACATACCATGTAAATGAGGCATCCGACAAGAGTCTTCTTACCAGAGCCGGGATCGCCTAGTAGGCTCAGCGACCTGCAAGACATGTTCTGGCGGGCGGCACGGCAACACAATGGGAATAAATGTCGCGCGATGAAAGATGACTTGCGTGCAGGATAAATCGAGGCGGGGTATTTTGAAAAACGAACGAGAGTCAGACAGCTTCGATTCAATCGGGCAATGTTTGCTTTTCTGTGTCGTGAACCAACAACTTCTTGTTTGCCCAGGATGAGTCAGCAGCCAGCCACCGACGTATTGTGGTCTTGGCCCATGGACTTGCAGTATATAGCTCAGAGCACTCTCTAGCAGGATGTTTGTTTGTGGAGAAAATGATTCTGAGACTGGTCGCTCTTCTCAGTCTCAGCTTTAGTCTGATAAGTTTGGCCTACGTCGTGCGGGTCCCATGATCATGAACTATCAATATCATGAACTATGGTCTCGATGCTTGAAACCCCAGACCACTGCACTAAGGAAAGGAAATCATTACCGCGACACAAAAACTCTTCAATTGTCATAGGTTTTACCTGTCTATACCGCACAATCTATCTGTACTGTGCCCAAAGGGTTTGTGGATGACTGAGCTTAAGCTGAGCCTTATGGTCTTAACATGTGTTTTAGAGAGAAGAACCGCGAAAAGCTTGTCCTTATCGGGTTCACTCACAGAGATGGCTTCGATAGCAGGCTCACTCGAAAGCCTATCATCTCTGCCAGGTTCCCAGCGTTGTCAGACATCAAACGCACAGCACGCAACGCTTTCTGACTACCACTTCAGCCATCAGCAAGTTCGGTCAGAGAACAAAGTTGTGATGATCTATTGCCTCCTCCTCTTGGACAGCCAACTCCAAGCAAATTGAAACTGTTACAACTCTTGGTTGGTCTGAGCTATGGCAAATATGGACTTGAGGCGAATATGCTTGACATCTGCCACATACGACCATAGCTCGTAGNNTAGTTGGGTCGGTGACGACCAGCGAATCCCCGGTGTTGTATGTTTTTTAGTGTTGAAACTAATTTTTGCCGTCTCCACGATATCCATCCAAGTCAGCTAGCTCTCTAGAGGCAGTCATGACTACAAGGAACAGACAACACTAGCAAAAACAGGGCTTCGATAAATAATCTTCTGTATTAAGTAGAATGTGCTACTTAGAGTTCCTGTCTTGTGCTTTTGCCGAGATCTGTCACTATGGTAGACCCCGGCCAATGCTAACTATGTCCTCAGTCATTGCTATTACGCATTACTGCTTACTGAGGCAGTTCGACTACAGTTATCATATGTCTATTCTCTGTGTGTTATTGTCAGCGTCTTTTAAGACCAATGCCACTTACATCTAGAAACGGCGAAGGTCGATTATCTTACGAAAGATGCTAATGATGTACTTATTGCTTACTCGAGCAGCAAAGTCAGTACAACTACCAATAGAGTTACTGAGTGTCAACTAAGCAAGGAGCATATTCAACTCAGAAGAGAAGTGGTGCTCTTAAAGTTCCAGAGCAACCGTACCCCAAACAATACGTTCATTACCAGCAATTGCGAACCTGCCCGTCGGCATGTTAAGCACTTGTCAGGAATGTTGATGAAGTGCATGCGTGCATTTAAAACATTTCGCTATTAGGGTTGCAATTTCATGGTGGTGTTCGCTTGATTTGATGTTATATGGCTTCGAAAGATGTCGAATATGAAACCCCGCACTTCCATGTGACTTGTTGAGCACTTTACCACCCCATGGTAAGCGTCAGTGTAGAACGTCTCTTGCACTTAACTTCGCCATGGCATCTCGTCCAAGTCCAGCTTCACAAGGCCCGGCTATGCTGGACGTACTGGATAGTGAACATCGGGTTATGCTCGAAAAAGCTGTGAGGAATGTCCTGAGCACGGAGGTTGCCGAGCTCGTATACGCTCAGATTCTTGATGGACTTCCTGCTGAAAAGTCTCTGAGAGACAGTTCTGACTTTGTCAAAGATCACCCCGTTCATAGCCTTAATCACGCCGAAATTTGCCCCGGATATGTAGACAAAGCCCGAGAGTTCAGAAATCAGTTTGACCTATCGCAACTACAATTAGACTCCAAGGTAAGTCTTGGCTAGGGAAACATCGGCATGCCAAGCTTACGCTTATTTTAGACAATCAAAGCCTTCGCAGATACAGTGCCTGGATCAGAAGCGTTCAAACTTCGATTGATCGAAGTCGTTGCCGTTGCTTGTCATCAGATCGGCGCTTTTCTCTTTAACCTCGATGATGCTGCTCACAAGCACAAATTGTATGAAGACTGGAGACAAAGCGTCCTCGAAGAAAAGGAACGTGGGGTCGAATCAAGGCGATACTACGATCCTCCTCCCATCGCCTTTTGTCACCGAGCATATCGATATCCTGAGCAATATCCAAAAGGTACGGCTGATGTTGCTGGCTATTGGGCTGAGTCCAAGATCCTCGGCGGCGTTATTGTATTCGATCGTGGTGAGACTGAACAAGGGGTATGGTTTTTTGATCCTCATCATGGGACCCAACAGCTGATGACCACTGCGCCTGGGACAGTGCAATGCCATGTGGATCCATGGCGACTTGATCAGAGGCCCAAGAACTCTTTATCCACCGACCCAAGAACAATTCGACGCCTTGATCAAATTCCTCACTATTCCATTCGAGGAAAGCCCAACATGTCCGTTTCCTATTCATGGATCAAGCGCCAACAGACCACGATGGCATCCATACCATGCACTTGCATATTATCACATCTTCCGCGATAAGTATGAGAGGAGGCTCCCGCCAAACCCGCCTCAGCCAGGCTGCGTTGAGGACGGGACGGACTGGCCAGAACTTGATGATCGGCGACTTCTTCTCCTAGGAGGACTTACTAATCCTCAAGGCGAGCCTTACGTCAACGATGATGAGTATGCCGCGGCTACAGAGAGGATTAAAAACATAACGCCTTCATCGCCTCTTTGGCGGCAGTCTGAGATCTAAATTCAAACTCGAATGGTTTCTTTTATGGTAATGAGATGAACGCGACAGTTGACCAAGGCCTGGAGGTTGTCAGAAAGTTTGGAATTTCAGTGGAAAAGAGTGTTTGGGTCTATTCGTAGCTTGTAAAAAGTTTAAGCTCTAGCATTTCGATGAGAAAGCGAAATGTCCACTCTATGTTTACCATAAGATACACCAAGGATGTCCTGAACGACCACAAGATATCAAATATGGCCCCAAGAATTGACTTATTATAAACTGCTCTCGAGATATCCTCATAATATCTAAACCTTTTGAACTTTGAATCCAGTCCGAAAACTTCGTAGCCTCAAGGGTAAAATCATGGGCAGCAACCAGAAACATACTAGCTACAAACCGCAACTTTCTCAGAATTCAGAGCTTTGGATCCCCTTCGTGACCCCAGCTTCTAGCAGCTACATCCACACACACCCGGCAGAACACAGTTCTTTCCACAGCCATATTGAAGTCCGTTGGTTCCACAGTCCTCCCACGTCTTGCATTTGGCCCACGGCCCAACTCCCCCAGCCGTCGCGGTCCAGCACCATTAGCCGCTCCCCTTCGCACCGTAGCTCTTCCAGCAGTACTTGTCTGAACAGCCGTATGGTGCCCCGTAATAGCAACGTCTCTTTTGGAAGAGCCTGGAAGTACCCGTTGGGGTTGTATTGGGGATATCGCCTTCCTCTAGGGGCGTTAGTGAGGCACCCTTGGCGGGATCAAGGGTACGGTTGCGGCCGAGTGGATGAGCGGCGCAGAGGCGAAGATCTGAGGAATCTACGCCATCAGGGAGATTTCCGGGAGTGACCTGAAGGATTCCAGGATCTCCACAGACAGCTTCGGCACCAGAGATAGTGGATGTTCCAGCAGAAATCAGGGTTGAGCAGGCGAGAACTAGAATCGCGCTGTTGTACTTCATCGTGAATAATGATTGGAATTGAAGATAGAAGGTGCTTAAGTAGTGACAAAGGAGGTGCTTGAACAGGAACTGTTGCGAATGAAGTGCTCAAAAGGCTGAGGATCATTCGGACGTATTTATACTTATTGAAAAGACGTCTCTTTCAAGGGCTCAGGGCGCTGATATCTACTCATCAATATCAATTTGAGGCAGTACAGCAACCATGACAAGCCCTGTTGAACTTGTTGTTGGGGGCCATGACCCGCAACCTAGCTTCGGTCAAGGCCCAGAGGCCTATGCATCCCTGTTATGATGAATGATGGTGTTGTATATCTGTTAAACAGAGGTTAAATATTTTACAGCTTCTGCTACTCTAGTCGCTTGTAGTGGTCTACAGAGAATTAGGAACTATATAGCCTATACCTAGTTCACAAAGTTCATCAAACTAGCAGACATACGATGAGACCAAAGTAGTAATTCTGCATCAAGAGATCAAGACCAAGATGTATATCCAAGGGGTGAAGTTGCATGGTGGCTTAGCTGCTTATCATACCTCCAGTGAAAGGAGTAATCGCCGTGGAAATCATCGCGCAAACCGAACCATTCATACATCCACGAGTTGCCTATTCTGGTCTGTCAGTCTGGAAAGACCGAAATATACGAGTAATACGCCTGTGTAAGCGAATGACCCTGGTGAGCCAAGACGTTCTGGATCATGTAAATGTCTTACTTAGTTGACAGCAAATAACCCTTTTGGCAAAATGCACAGGGAAGTGAAACCTTCTGAACAAATCATATTTCAGGAATGCAATGTGGTCAATTGAAAGTTAGATATCAACCGGCATGATATGATCATGAGACCATCATCGCAACCAACGACCAACAGTCAACAACGCCGCATTAGGACAGGGTAATTGATAATCTGATAAGAGGATACCGGCCAAACCGCTAAATCGGATATATTCATGTCAACCTAACTCGTGGCCACCCCGCCGTTTTACACCCTTTCGAAAACACCAAACCTTGCTTCTTTGTTTAGAAGTCAACACAGAGTTTTTGCCGCTTTACCTTTCAAACAAGATGTTCAAATCAAAATCCATAGTTGTTGGTCTACTATTGAGTTCAGTATCTGCCGTTTCACGTAAGAGTTCACCATGATTGAACCTCCCTCCACTATTAACTCAGGGAATAGTCACATACAGCAAACTTTATGACAACAACTCGATACCTGTTAACCAGCTGGCATGCTACAAGAACGGTCTTATACTGGATGGGTACCCAGCATGGAAAACCATTGGGGACATTCCGCATTCAATCACTGGTCTTGAGCAGGTTGATGGACCTGATTCTCCGCTCTGCGGTTCCTGCTGGATTCTCACATACGGTGAAACCTCCAGACCTGTGCTTATCCTAGACAGTGCAAAGGAGGGTTTCGTATCAACTCTTGATACCTTGAACTGGCTTACCGGTGACAAGGGCGAAGAGCTTGGAAGCGTCGAGGTGAAGCCTGCCAAGGTTGATATCACGAATTGTGGACTTGCCCCGGCGGATATAAAGAAGGAACTCTGATGTGTCTTGATGGCCTTTGCCTTCCATCTGGCTAAATACCTTTACAGAGGGCATCCTTTGCACTGTTCTCTCATCCTCCTCCTGGATTTAATCTTTCGTCGTCAGTTGGGTCAAGGTCCTGCCGTTCAAGCTTATCCTAGGACCAGTACCAACTAAACAGAGCTTAGCTAGCGATTTGTTCTAGATGGATTAACTTGACTACTTTAAAGTCTAGTCATAGACGGCAGTGGTATTAGGAAGCACTGTTAATTGTCGCCCTATACCTATTGTAAAATAAATGTGAACTCCACCATAGGCCCTCCGAGAGCTCCGGATCTAAAGCTCTCGTTTTCGGTCCGGCAGCTATACGAAGGGCCGGAGAAATACAGAAACAGCTGGATCGTCTCAATTAAATAGGATAGAGCACACTGTAAGTGGTGGATGATTTATGAAACAGAAACCTTGTATACAGCCGAACTTTGCCTATTTAGGCAAATTCGGATAGTCTCTGCCGAAGTCTCTAGGATTGATCAGGAGATCGGAGAAAGTATATAAGATGAGAAAATGCCTTTTTATTTCATCGAAATTCCTACCCATTATTGAAAGTGTTAAGATACAAGGCAAGGTCAAAATGAAGGTGGCTGTATTGTCCCTTTTTATGACCGCTGTGTCGGCCGCCTCACTCCCAGTAAGTCTCATCATCCACGACTGGAGACACTACTAACCTGCTGGTGCAGAGCTATAGGTTTGTCGGAAGAGTCAACCCGGCGACCAAACAGCTCACATGGCCGAGCACCGGAGTGGCTTTCACCTTCAAGGGAACTACCGCCAGTATCAAGATTGACGGTATCACTGGAACATCAAGCGCGGATCTGATCATCGACGGTGGCAACCCAATTCTCGTTAAAAATGTAGAGGGAACATCGATCTCGACCCCAAAGCTCACTCAGGGTACCCATACTGTTGAACTTCGCAAGCGATCTGAAGCATCTTTCGGTTCCTTCCGAGTTTCCGGCGTCAGCACGGATGGTCAACTGGTCGAGAACGTAGCACCAAAGCGCAAGATTGAGATCATCGGCGACTCCATCACCGTTGGGTACGGTCTTGATGGCGTTAATCCTTGTGTCGATTCAGCTGTTCTGCAGAACAACGGCAAGACATATGGTGCTGTGGCAGCGAGAGCTTTAAAGGCGGATTATAGTGTCGTCGCTTGGAGTGGCAAGGGTCTCATCCGCAACTATGCCCAGAACCCTCCCGACACTTCACCAACGATGCCGGTTCTCTACACGCGCTACGGAGCCAACGACGCCGATAACAGTTTCAAGTTCCCCAGTTCATGGGTTCCTGACGCTGTTGTGATCAACCTCGGCACAAATGACTTCAGTTACCTCAACGTGCGCCAGCCAGTCAACCCTGCAGACCTGACTCAAGCTCTGGTCAAGTTGGTGAAGAGCATACAGCCACACTACCCCAAGGCTCAGTTCTTCTTTGTGTCTTCTCCGCTCCTCAGCGATTACTACCCTACCACGGCTGATGCGCAGAAGTCCACACATGTCAAAGTTCTCAAGGATGCCATGCAGCAGCTGACTGGTGTCAAGACTCATCTGGTTGATTGGCCTACTCAGGGATCTGATTCAGGATGTGACTATCACCCAAATGCTGCTACGCAAGCCAAGGGCGGTGCACTTCTGGAGGCCTCTATCAAGGCAGCTCTGGGATGGTAAGGGTTGAGACGGGGTATCAAAAAGAATTCTTGGAGATGTATGTCAAAAGAGTAGGCTTCTAACAGAGCCAAGCAGGTTCAAATAGAGAGAAGACAGTATTGCATTCTTGTTTGACAGTCAAATTAAGTGCAACGTCTTATGAATGAACGTCTAGTATAACGGTTGTGCGTTGCTAGAATGGCTAGCTGCTTTATAAGATACAGGGAAAACTGGGTTACACCCAGAGGAAAAACCCCAACCCCTTCAGCCTCTCACTCATCCTCGCCAATCCCATCACGAAACTCGTTGCTAACGGGTGTAGAATTCTACATCTTTCCATGTCACAGTAATTGGCCCTGAACCGCTTACAGTAGCATAGGCTCCATACTTATCTCCCCATACATCTCGCGGCGAAGTAGTGGAGTATTTCTCCTCTCCATTGATGAATACCTTGTATGAACCTGTATCGGCATCATGGATGGTGTTGACAGTGACCGTTGCACCGACTTTGGCCACTCCCTTGGCAATTGTTCCTCTTCCTCCCACGCCGTATAAGTCTCCAGAGTGATCCGCAGCCAGCATGAACCATGCACCTTTGTTTCCGATTGTTTGCTTGAGAGAGATTCGATCCCCTCCGAACGAATTGATGGTGAATTTGCCAGTAAACTGGTGTACGCCCGAGGTATAGTGGTCTCTAGAGCCGTATTCGGCGCGAAGATGGCCATTGTGGCAGCCGGAGCCAACGGTCTGCCCGTTGGCCCTTGGTGGAAGGTGAAAGACGTCGCCCTTGATTTTTGCTCCTGCGCATTGCTGGGGGTTGAGGGCAGGGTTGACTTTCTTCCATCTGCCGCCACCGAGGGGAGCGGCTGCAAGAGCCATAGGTACCAAGATGGAGACGAATAGGTTATTGAGCAGCATAATTGAGTAAGGGTCGTAGTAATAGCGAGTGAAAGACTTAGGCAAGGTATTTGGAGAGGACAAGGTATGAAGGAGGCAAGCAATAGAGTGGTTGTTGAAGCGTTAAAATGGGGGAGCTCAAGCCTATTTAAAAGCACCGGTCTAATCTTCTTCACATGTATGTTTGTTGTATTAGTAAACGTCAAGTTGTGAAGTCTCCTGAGGAAAGGATATCCAGAACACAGATTCATAAGAATCATGAGATCCATTTTCCTTAATTTCCTAGGTATCTGACCCTTGCTTTGGTACACATCTAGCGACTTAAGACTTGTTTGTGGAGGCTTCCTAATTGCGTTGATGATGGTTTAATGAAGGAGCCAAATCCTTCCTGGACTTGCAGTACAAAAATTGTAGTACTTTGCAAGCAAATGCTTGTTTGCATGTTTGCATATGCAGCCAGGGATTATAGTCAAACTTAATATGTACAAACCCGGCAAATGGAGTGCGAAGTGTGTTTCAAGTACAGTGAATTTATCTACTATCCTGATTAAGTAGAACGAAGCGCTACTTAACGAAATGTAAAACGACACTTGCTTGGGTTAGCATGCAGTCTACAGTCTAACTAGGCTCTGTGAAATAAAGATAAACTCTAAATCACAGTTCTCAACTGCAAATATCACATACGGCTCATAACTTCGACCTTTCATTATACTCAATCCGACCTATTGTTGTCAAGTATATTCTGGTGAGAAAAGGCCTTAGGAAAGTATTGCTACAGTAGCAAGGATACCTTTGGCTTCACATAATAGGTAGTCTATAGTCCAACGTTGCTAAACAGTACATTATTATAAAACCGCCATGATACAGATTGGCAGCATGGAATGCAAATATGTAAACGCGAGATTGCTCTGGTTGGCCGAGAGTTCCGGGGTTTACTTGAAACACCCTGACATGCCGTCTGTGCCGATCTCCTGTGAATAGGACTGTTATTAGCTCCCTGCACTAAGTAGGGACCTAACTCTACGAACACTCAGCCCTACCCAGTAGTCATTTATTAGTATTAACTAGTTTACGGCAGCCGATCCCTGAAAGGCAAGCTAAAGCAACTATGTAGTCGATGACTACCTAGACGACCTAGACTACCTACAGAGTATAAAGTTAGGCTTTAGGCTGTCAACGCAGATGAGGCCAGCTCTATGCTGGTCCTCGCAGCCCTCTTTCAGCTAAAGGATACAAACGAGGCAGGTGATTCAATATTAAGCTTTCAGTCACAAACAAGACTTTTGCTGATTGATACTTAAAGCTTACGGCGTTTCAACGAGACATAAACCGTGACTGTCGCTAAAGAATGTCTCAACAGTATAGATTGGCTCCTTGAACACAAACTAAACCCAGCGAACATTGAGTTGCAGAAAGTTTCGGTCTCCCTCGAGTCTAATTTTTCTGACATATCATTCCAGGTAGCCATATGCTTTGCATTCGTCGGCTATGGCTCTTGATGGTGCAGGTCGCTCCACGATACAATCCAGATTGGTACATATCAGGTTGCGTTCCTATCTCAATTTACATAATACACTTATAATAAACTTCGTTAAGTATATGCTATTTGTATTTGAGACTTGTGGCTTTACTTGTACTGTTATACATAACTCAAGACGAGATAATCCTAACACTTACAAAGAAGAATAAACAATTATAAAGTAATTGTCTTTCTTCTTCTATGTCTAAAGAACTAATGATTTAGCTAAAGGCAGTAAAATGTAGGGCGAAAGGGCGAGGTAGTGTCTTTCTAGGGGTCACAGCAATCCTAGATTAAATGTCATTCTGATTGATCTTTTCTTGTCAACTACACACATTCCAAATCACTTTACCATCAACTTTTCAGAGCCTCAGTTGCCCGTATCCTAGGGGGGCATAGTTCGATTGAATCGAACTAGTAAGCTCTTGGGGATTGCCATGATAACGCTCCGTTTCCCAGATCTAGTGTCTTCTCTAGACCCAACTATGACCTTATCACAGCTTATCATCTAGCAATCGTCAACACTCATCCACTCATCCCCATTCTTATCTCCATATATTGTGGACCGTTGTTACATCGTCCAGACATTGACGTCTATACCAAGGATCAGGTTTCTCATGCTGCAAGCCTGTCGATTCGTTAAGTCGTCAAAAACGTTACATCAACTCAATCCTACGCCTAGAATCGGAGTCAGTCCACAATATTCGCCAAGATTTCCAGAGACTAAAGAATATGGTCCTTGTCTGTGGAGAATGCCGAGGTGGCGTAAGTGTCATCTATGGAGCCAATGCACCAGATCAAGGCTGGTATTGGTCTTTGTAGACCGTTCCGGTTTCTTGGGATCCTGTATAGGATGACATATCAGACTCTGATATCGATGGTCTGTCGATGTGCAATTGTTTAAGTATCTGAGATCTCGCGGATCCCGGAATACACAAGGCATACCTTCCGAACTTCGTGATATACTGCGCAATGGGCGATATAATCGATGCCGGAGCTTGTTCCAAGCTCTTCACCACTCTGGACATTGGAAATGGCAAAGTCAATCTCAAGCACCGCATTATCCATGCACCTCTGACTAGGAACCGAGGAACTCCGGTGAACTCTGTGTCTACGCCTGAGAAGCCCAACCGACTCTGGATTACAAATGACCTGATGGCCGAATACTATTCTCAGCGAGCGACCGATGGTGGCCTCATCATTTCTGAGGGCCTCCCCCCTTCACTTGAGGGCAATGGAATGCCAGGTGTTCCAGGCATTTTCCTCCCTGAACAGGTAGAAGGCTGGAAGAGGGTTGTTTCTGCTGTCCATTCCAAAGGAGGCTATATGTATGCCCAGTTGTGGCACTCTGGTCGCGCCAACATCCCTCAATTGACGGGAACTCCCATTCTGGCTCCCTCCGCCACACCATGGGATGACCCCAACGAGACCTTTGCATATCCCCCACCCCACAGCACTACGCCTGTGAAGATCGCAGACTACCCACCTATCGAGATGACCGTGGAAAAGATAAAGAGTACTATCAGTGACTACGTCGAAGCTGCAAAGAATGCCATTGAAGCCGGTTTCGACGGCGTTGAAGTCCACGGCGGAAACGGATACCTTGTCGAGCAATTCCTCTCCTCAAACATCAACAAACGGACAGATCACTACGGCGGCACCGAGGAGAAGAGATGTAACTTTGCACTAGAGCTTATGGAGGAACTAGCCAAGTCAATTGGCCAAGAAAACTTGGCTATTCGCCTCACCCCTTTCGGTCTGTTTAACCAAGCTCGTGGCGAGAAGCGTGTTGAAACATGGAGCCACCTCTGCCGTGAACTGAAATCTCGCTTGCCAAAGCTTTCATACGTCAGTTTTGTTGAGCCAAGATATGAGCAGATCTTCTCGGAGGCAGAGAAGCAGAAGTTCCTGGGATCTTGGGGCTTGCCTACTGTCGATCTGTCATTGTTCCGTTCCATCTTTGGAGATACGCCATTCTTTTCCGCCGGCGGATTCAATGATGTTAACTCATGGGGTGCTGTCGAGAGTGGGAAGTATGATGGTCTGTTGTATGGAAGGTATTTTATCAGTAACCCTGACTTGGTAGAGAGATTGAGGAATGGGTGGCCGCTGCAGGCGTATGATCGAAAGACATTTTATGGACCTTTTGAAGATAATGCTGTTGGATATACGGATTATCCTTTTTACAAAGAGGAGTAGATCTTAATTTACAAATTAATTCTCCCCGTGTCAACTACGAATACATGTTTGGATATATAGATGTAGCCTAAGATCATGAACAACACTTGAGACAGAACATGTGGCTCAGCCTGATGCCGAATACTTATTGCCCTGAGACTATAGAACTGCCAACACCCGAGTCCGTCGGTGTTAGGGGCCTTTTATCATCATCCTGCCACTCGGTACTCTCACTTCCGTGTCCATTGGTCTTCGAGCTCTGTCGATGTAAGGGTTTAGACAGGTTCCTTTTCCCCCCTGTTTTATAACGCTTCACAAACCTGGACAAGCGCGACCCTGAAGAAACATATGATGCTACCTCGCTTGTGTCCAAATAGTCAGGCGAGGTCTGCTGTGGTGTTGATGGTGGGGTGACGGAAATTTGTGGTTTAAGTGCCACTGGCGTTGTCTCGCTTTGGGCTTCTGTGTTTGTTTCTGGTGCCTTCTTGGGCTCTCCACCTATTTGCAAGTCGATGATATCGACTTCGCTTTCATCCTCGACTCTGGCACGTCTATCTGGGACAGGAGGGGCTCTAGTCTCAGAGTCGGTGGTCCCAGAAGCTGAGGGCGCTTCCAATCCATGTTGCTGTCGAAATGCAGATGCGGAGTTATAAAATGTTGACGTGAAGGTGCGTCTTTGCCGCATGCTCCTCAGCTGAAGAGTCGTAGTGGCAAGCTCTTTAATCATTGACTTCCTCAAGTTAGCAATGAGGACCCAAAGTTCATAAAGGGACAACTTGCCCATGTCGTGCTAGGGTCTAAGAGAACACGTCCCTCTTCTCTTCTTCCGACAACCATCCCGAGTTGTTGTAAAGCTTCGAAGCTAGCCCATTCCTCTCCGATAGCAACGTACTCCTCCTTCATGGCTCTCTCATCGGTCTCTTTTGCTGGATAGAATTGAGGTAAGTATCCACAATGAAGGAACTGTAAGAAGACGGGCTGTTCATTTATGAACCAAGTTTCACCAAGATCTGATGGGTTAGCAATTGCAGCTGTCAAGGCTTCTCTTTGTCACCCACCATTTCCTCGGATATACACAAGCTTCATACTTCTTCCCTTCATCAGCGTATGTGCTAGATCTAATCCGTGAGGATTTCTAGCGGATTTGTCGCCAACAAGTGCACCCATAATCGCTTTCCCAGGATAACCCTTTTCAGACATGAAAGCATCGCAGTCCCAGATTGGCTTATCTCCCTGCCTCATGATACCTAAGCTAATAGACGTAAGGTGAAGCTTGGGAGTTATAGGCCGAGCCTCATAATCTGCAGAGTCTGTTTGTGGCAGAACAACAAAAGCAGGTTTCTGGAACTTTGATCTCACTGGTTTTGTCTCCATGGTCGGGTTGTGTGACTGGGCAGGTGGAGGCCAATATGTCTCTCCTGATGGTGGTGGTGGTGGCGGTGGGAAAGGATATCCGTGAGAGAAGTTTGACGCTTCAGGCATCCAGTTCGACTGGTCTGAAGATCCGTGAGACGGTGCAAAAGGATTTCGAGCCTGACCGTATGGCTGGAAGTAGGCACCTGTTGGGTATGGCATAGTTGGTTCCGCTGATATTGGTGAATGGCCATTATTTTGAGGGGGCGCATTCGTATATCCAAAGGGAGCATCCCAGGCTTGTGTTGGTCTGAGTATCTTGCGGCCACGAGGATCAAACTCCGGCTTACCATTGTACTTGGTTTCTTCTCTCGGGAACTCATTGCGAGCTGCTCTTGCTTCCTTTCCAAGAACTTAGCATATCTATGCACGATCAGTAACTGTGGATTGCTTACTCTTCTCCGGTTTGTCTCTGGGCTCCCAGGCCTGTAGAGGGACTCTTCGCTGTCGGAGCTGTCACTCGCTCCAAATGCCTTGCTCTTATCGGGCTGGTTATCTGGTTTCCCCTTCTCAACCTCGCTTTCGCTCAATGATGTCCAAGCCAGAAGAAGTCGATTGACAATCCTTGCTGGTTCTTGAGGCTTGGGGTTTTTAAATCTCGCTCTCTCTAGAGGACCCCCATTGTTTTCATAGTCAAAGGGGTCATCGTCATACACATCATTGGACTGTTGATATCGGTACCCCACTTCTGTCTTCTCATCGCTTCCAGTATCTCTCAGATGTGAGCCAGGGTTTGGTACTCCTTTCACTGGTATCTCGTTGAGAAATACGAGGTTGTATAGAAACGTAGCTGCATCGCCGCGTCGGTGGAAATCAGGTCCAAATTGCGCGATGCTGCCACCGTCCGGTGGATCAAACCCCGACCTTCTGCGACTTCGGGACACCCTTTCTTCGCCTTCGGAAGAGGTGTTTTCTTCATCTTCATCTTCAATCGCAGGAACGGTATAACGTCTTTCTGGACGTATTGGATCCTTTACACTTAGCGCAAGTGCTGAGCGGACCTCTTCCTTATCGCTTGGAGAAAGAAATGCGTTGTCTTCTGAATTCTTGTTTTGACCGTAGAGTTCCTCCGTTCTTACGTGTCCGGGAATCTCAGATTCACGCACGGGACTTGGTAGTCTTTTGCTTGTGCGAACTGGTGGGCTCGGTGCTCTTTCTTGAGGAGGATCTGGAATTGGCTCCGATTCATCATTCTGGAACGAAGCTTGACCAGCCAGGACAAGACTCTCGGCTTGAGCTTTGAATCTGTTTCCCACTCTCCCTTGTATTGATGGACGGCTGGAAAGGTCAGATCATTGTTCATAATTGCCGAATAGGTGCTTACCCATTGGGGGACTTGACCAGAACAGCCGCTGAAAGAATGGCAATTTGCAAAGTCAATGTGACCTTATGCTTTTCGATATCCGACAACAGCCTTGCAGCCTTGAGCCATTTGACCCTTCGTAACATACTCTCATCAGCCACCATCTTGTCAATCTCTTGCTGCGTCATCTGGATGTTCTTGACAACATGCCGAACGGCTTCGCAAAACTGCGGTTTTGCATATGCTTGCCCGGATCTGATGATGTCGTGTAAGTGCTCAAGAGTCGAAGTCAAGCCAGACATCTCAATGGCAACCGATTGGATCTCCTTGGGCGCATTCTTTACTGTCTTGTAAAGCTTGAAAAGAGTGTTTGAGATTTGAGCGCCGGCTGATGCTATGCCAGCGATACTGGCTATAATTGATAGAGGGTCCATACCTAGCGCGCGATTACCGTTCAGTTATTGCACAATTGAGAGGAAAGAAACTGAATTGAGGGTGTAAACTCAGATCGAAAGCTTCTGAGGGCTCAACTTGGTTGTGGACTGCCTTACGGCTGCCTTCGGAGGCTGTGCACCCCTGTCTTGCATGATGCAGGTAAGACTACCTGCAGTTAGCCTAGGAGAGAAAAGAAAACTGAGGACCTTTAACCGTAAGTGATGAAAATCTTTAGGTAAATCTAGCCTAAGCTTAGGGACTCTTTGCAAAGTTTATTTTGACACCCAATATTAAGGTCCTGTGTTTTCTTGCTCCCTGAGGCTAGCACCTAGCAATCATGGCTATGTCTCACTCAATTGGGTCCTCGCAGTTCCAGATTGGAACAGTTTCCACTGGGAAAAGAGAAAACTGCAAGATTACCTCCCACGGCAGAATGGTTGGAAGGTATCGTGATCTGTCCTGTAAAAACCTGCCAATCAACCGTGTGTGCTTGGTGTTGAAGGAGGTGACAGACCGTCCTTAATACGAATGCTTTAGTTTGAGTGTTTATGTCAACGGCTCTCTGGCTTCACTCAAAGCTGGCTCCTTATGTGCAGCTCTGCGGTTCAGTTCATGGAGTGAGACAGGGCTTAGTTCGTGCAACGCGCTACATGTATCATGTTCCCGCTCCGTCAACCAACACAGCAAGGGAGAGCGGTGCGAAGACTCGTCGATGAGGCACCATTCTTTTTCGTATCTTCTTGAGCCTCGTATGTTCTTCTTTGCTCGTTCTATCATGTATTCTTACGAAATAGCAGCTCGACGTTTTCCTCACTTATCCTTGGATACCATACCGCTCGACCCATGCAGCTTTCCCCAATTCCTGACCTTGACATCCATATCCCACCGAATGAACACCATAACAATCATCACAACCCAGCTCAGCAATGTATTCGCCAAACCCGTCCAAAATCCACCACGTATAGCGCCTCCCATGACAGTAGTCATAACGAGCCTAATAATAGTGCTCGTTGCGATAAGCTCTTCGCCCCTCTCCAACCCCGCAATTGCACGACGAGCACATTCATCTGGTGTGAGGATCTGATCACCCTCCTCGAGCGCTTTTGTAACATCTGTCTTGACCTTGTTCTCATCGTCTAGTGACTTGGTTGGCATTGTGGCTGGGAAGACAGTGTGGATGCGCACGCGAGGCTCATTCGGGTGAGCACCTGTGTATAAGTTCATCTCCTGTGAAAGAGAGTCTGATAGTGATCGGATGGCCGCTTTGGAGGGCGAGTAAGGCGTGAAACCTGCAAAACTGTATAACGAAACAAAAGAGCCTGTGAATATGATGTGACGAGACGGCGGTGCCTTGACTTCTGTGATCTTCTTCGTGGTACCGTCGATAGCAGGCCTCAGCCACGCATTGAGTGTAGCATGGGCCATGTACGCACTCGAGAAATAATTACTGTCCATCATAGTCTGAAGCTGCTCAACCGGTGTGTCAACGAACAACGTCGGGTGCGCGCTTCCACTACAAGACCAGACGACATCTGGCGGGCTGTCATCGTTCCAGGCGGTGACTTCTGCAATTACACGAGAGCATTCGGAAGCTTTAGTGACGTCGGCGGTGAGTGAGAAGAAGCGCTGAGATGAAGATTGGGCAGATGCTTCGACTTGAGTGAGAGCCTCTTTCAAGACGGTTGTGTCACGGGCGACTATAGCGACGTTCGCGCCTTTGCAGGAGAGCTGGCGCGCTGCTGCTAGGCCGAGACCTCTGGAACCGCCTGTAATTAGGACTGTCTGCGAAATGTTAGTGGGCGGGGCAGCTTCACTGAAGGAATGAGACGACATACTCTACCCTCAACAGGGAACTCATCACGAGACAAAAACGAGCCCATTGTGTAACGAGGAGTGGTAATTGAAAACAACTTGACCTGGGTAATTATAGCAAATAAAAAAGGAGTCCTTCAGACGCGTCGAAATTGTCAGCATTTAAGCCTGAACAATTTAAACAGCGATCCACAATTCTAAGTCGCTGATTGGTTCGTCCCTCAACGCTCTCATCAAATCCTCAATCATCCAACGCCAGCACAGAAGAATTGCTCGATCCTGAGAAGCAAGCCAGTAGATAAAGACGCAGAGAATTACAAGAAAAAAGCAAAAACACATCGACAACGGCAGGATTCGAACCTACGCGTGCGAACACAATGCCTATGATGTCTCGAAGAGATAGCAGGGCATCGCCTTAACCACTCGGCCACGTTGTCATGCTGTGGCGAATGATATTACAGATTATATACACCGTTCGCTACCTCCACCCAGACACATCTGTTGGCTATCCTATACACTGTGATCCTATATCCCTATCACGGGCAGTCGAGAGACTGCATGTTTAGAACAGCGCAAATTCGGGCATTCTTTTCACTGTCTGATACTCCTGACACAAAAGATCTTTGACACCCACAACTCCTCGGGCGCAACAGCCTTCTCATAAATTATTACCGGCCAGGTCAATACTCACACCTCTTCTTTAGATCTCTTCTCTGCTCCTCTAGCAACATTCGTTCCTGTAGACAGCTCCATCTTGCCCATACCACCCTCTCTGCCACGGCAGACCTCTAGGTGTCTTTGGTCAACGACATGATCCCAAAGGAGGATACCTTCACACGCGAGGGAAAAGTAAACGGGAGGTTAGAAAATGGTGGTCTCTTGACGTAAGCGTAGTAGCATAGCCCTCAAGGGCATCCCAAAAGCACATGTTTGACCATTTCGACTACTACCTGTACTGGCTACACTGAGGTAATAATCGCCAACTCACAGTAACCAACTCGTTTTGGATAACTAATATTATAAAATAATCGTGTAACTTGGTCTGGTACTCAATCTATTGCTCCTACAGGCTTCAAAGCTTCAACAATCTCACTTCGCAGCAAAGAAGAGCTTGGTTTGGCTCGAACTCAGCAAACTTATCCCGTCCACCCCCTGCTATACATATCGAAGACTTGTGATGCTAAGCCGCCTCTTTTTCGTTTATAAGAAGCATCTGTACTTTGTACGGTGTGCATCTCTAATTTCCATCGCTATCATCGAAGCTGATGCATAACTTTTCACTGCCGAGTATCGAGGCCAAAAGCTTCTTTTTGGGCGTCCACGCTGTGTTAGGCATCCACCGACTCCCGTCATCTTGCCAATCCTTAGTCCTCTTTCAAATGGACAGCATGCCAGGCTGTCAAGAGGCCACTTGTCAGATATGAGGTTAGGAGGACAGGTGGCAGTAGTTTTCGCCAGCTCCAGCGTTCGAGCTCATGGAATACCGTCTGAGCCGGCCCAAACCTACTTCTCCTGTTCATCCACAGCTCTCCCATCGCACAGGCCAGAAGGCCCAGTATACCCAAGAACTGATTAAAGCATTGTCTATGTGCAAGGTAATACCAGATTCTGCCGGCGTAGCTGTAGCTTTCGGGAGCAGGACGTATAGGCACGTATTCAAATATCCCACCAAGCCTCATAGGTCCTGCATGACGAAGATGAAGAAATAAAATGGGGTACTCCAAATAATCCCAAAACCCAGGCATGACTGAAAGCGGCGGTGATTAATGATCACCCACTAGTGAAATCAACGGGATGGCCAAGATGGGCGGTATTTCTTTGGTGGTGGTGGCGGCGGTGGGTGTGTTGCGAGAATTTCCTGACTAGGCGGTTGTTCCGTGGCTTTGCGTGCGAATGAATGGAAATAATAGAGAACACCGAGGAACTGAGTCCGCAATGTAGAGTGTTGATGGTAGATCGTGGATTGAAGGTAGTGCTTGGCTTTTGTGGTCGCAAATTGAGAAGAGAGAGAGAGAGTTCACTGTTTTGTGTCAGCAATGCAGCAGGCAGGCACTTATTTATACAACTTTGGGGTCAGCAATCGGTTCAAAGCAAGATATCAGGTAAAGTTAAGGGCAAAAAGGATATTGCCTACATATGTCCATTGGTGTTCTTTGCCTTTGTGCCCTGAGGCTGAAGGCTAATATATCCTCTCGACCTTATCACAGCTTCGAGAATAAAGTATCAGGGCCAAGGAATCTTCTATTCGTAGCTCAAGAAGTTCAGTCGATCACCATTTAAGTCATTAGGTAGGTGTATTAAATGAAAGGATAGCGAAAGGTTCAAAAAGTACAAAATAGAGTTATACGAGTGTCACTTTATTAACCGATGAGGGTCATCACGAAAGATTATTAACAAAGTGTTAAGGTTTGGAAACATTCAGTAATGAGGTGGTAAAAGTTTACTTATAATAAAGTTATTTTAACATAACACGCTGGGCATTTAAGATATCCTGTACCCCTGCATCTCTTCTCTTCCCTTCTTCTCCTTATCGGATCCAGGCTCTTCCCCCAGTGTCCCTATAAGTTTAGCACTCGGCCCAGTCATGCCTGTAAGTTTTATCTACCACATCTCTCATTTAGTCCTAACATTTCAACAGACTCCTTCTCCCTTACCCTGGCTCGAGAATCCTCTTCTAGTGCCGGCCTTTTGTTTCACTATTATCGCTGTCATACTTTGGTCGACAATTTTCATTGATCACCTCCGCGGTAGGAGAGACGAATCAAGATGCCCACCGAGTTCAAAGAACGACTCAAAACCCTCCACCGACTTATAACGTGAGAAAGCAAAGTCAATTGACAAGAAGGGATAATTCGATTACTTTTCACTATTGATACATGGTAGCTATGGAGCCATAAGAATACAATTTTGTACATATCCAACGTCATAATCTTACAATCATTTACCCATCACTCAGGCTCTCCATACTCAAAGCCTGGAACGATCTGTGCGGTCCTCGGATCGACCTTCTCTCTCATTGTAAAAGTGCTTCTTCGCAATCAAGCCCTTCATGCGTCCCAGGCGGCTCATAAGGCTGGCATCATAGGGCGGAGCCTGCATCATAGCCATAACAAAAGGCCCCTGAGCACCCCAGGTGCAGCTGTGCAAGTGATCTGAGATCTGCCCAATCAATCCCTCGAGTTCACCAAGCTGTTCATTCGGGAACAAACCAACTGGCTTCATCTCGTCAAGTGCGTCAAAGGCCGACGTAGCATCGCCGTAACGCTTCCAGTGGATTTCGGCGAGTTTGATGAAAAAGGTGGTGGAGACGCCAAGAACATAGGAGGAGAGGCCGAGTTCTTTAACTCGTGGGAGGATATTGAATGCGAGGATAGATGATCTCGCAAATGCGGTGTCGAAGAGCTCGAGCCCGTAGATGAGATACTGAGGGTACAGATGCCCCTGGATATCCATAACAGGCTTTTCCCCTTCTGTCTTCTCTGCTTTCTCGGCCTCCAACTTCTCAGCTTCCTCCTTCGCAATTTGCTCCTTGGACTTCCGACCCCTCTTGACCGTTGTGTCTTTCTCGACAATACCTAGCTTTCCAGGTAAGGAGAATACCTCTTCCTCCATGACATTCCAAAGCTCAATGTCCGTCTTACAGGCCTTCATGAGATCCTGCACTCTCTTCTTCTCTTTCTCCCTAATCTGTTCGTACTTTGCCCATTCACGCATCTGCTTCTTCTCCGCCTGGTCAAGCTCAGTCAAGCTGTAAAGATTAGGGCGTTTTGGTGCAAGTTCAAATTTGCCCAGAGCGTTCTCGGCAGCTCTTCGAAGGGATGCTGGGTAACGCTTGAGGAAGTCATCGCTGAAATTCGAATTATGGGCTTTTTCAACAAGTGTGTTTCCTCCACGCGCCGCGTCTGGTTGTTCTTGGTTTGGTGCTGAACTTGTAGGTTGAGTTTGGCCAAATTGAGAACGCTTTTTGTTTTTGGCTAAGCGGCCTTTAGCAATATCATCGAAAATTCCTTTGAAAATTTCTGTTTCCGTCGGCGTCAACGTTCCTTGTCGTTCAATCTCGGTTTCGTTTGCACTTGTTGTCTCCTCGTCGTCAAACTCGAAAGGAATTTCAGAATTGTCTACTTTCCCGAGTCGTCTTGTCGAAGTCGCCACTCCAGCTCTCTGAGTGAAAATAATGCTGGCAGGGCGTCTGCAAGCCAGTTGTAGCGTCCTTGTTTGATACAAGAACGGTAAAAGATTTCGAGACATTTTTTATGTTGTGTTCAAGGATTTGTTAAACCCTTTAATTTTCACATGAGATTGTGGAAGGCTGAAAATTGATACCGGTTCAAGGCCGTGGTCGGCTGAATGTCGGATGCAGAACGCGTAGGCATCAGCGCGTGACTTCGCGCCAAATTCAATTAATGAGTCGCGTTTTGGTTTGCGCCCTTCACGTCACCATTCACGATCCCGTCTGTCTGTCACTTTGCTGCTTGCGCAAACCAGCACAACCACTCGAATTTTTGCTCTAGAGAGGCTCCTACAACGCCTTACTCTCCACCTTTGCTTGCCAATCATTTGATCAAATTTTCCATTCGTGCGCCTCATTCATTGTCACCATGCCTCCTAAGAAGGGCGTCGACTCGCCCATGAGCGCCTTCGAGCGCAGGCGACAAGAGAATATGGCATCAAACCAGAAGATTCTAGCCGATGTCGCCGTAGTCGCTAAGAAAGTTATGCCGACACCCCAAAAGAAGTCAACGCCAACCCGATCGAAGACCCGGACTCCTGCAAAACGGGAGCCTGCAATGCCGACTCGGCAGTCCTCACGACTCGCTGGTCTCGATGCAGACAATGATACCTTAAAGAGAAAACTAGCTGTCGAGGCCGAACACGTCGCGGCGAAAGAGAAGGCTAAAAGGTTGAGAGTAAATGGTGACCTAAAACTCGACGATATCGCTGTCGAAGGCAAGAAGTATCTCGCTGGTGTAGACGGGTTTAAGGGTCTCGTCCGTGGTGCGCAGCCCGGAGTTCGAACGTTCACGGAGGACGATGTTAAGGAAACCACCGACAAGGATTTGAAGGAGCTGCGAAAGCGTATGGGTGGTTTGAAGTTATACGAGCACTGGGCCCCCAATGGTAAGTATTGTCTCGCACACGCGAGAAGTATGTCACTAACCACTGAAACACAGACATCAAGATCACACCCCAACGAGTCTATGCTCTCGGCCTTCATCCCACCGAATCGAAGCCCCTTATTTTTGCTGGCGACAAAGAAGGTAACATGGGCGTGTTTGACGCTTCGCAGTCTGCTCCTGAAATAAGCGATGAAGACGAAGATGCGTCTGTGCCTGACCCTACCATTTCTGCGTTCAAGATACACAGTCGCACGATCACTTCCTTCGTTTTCTCTCAGCAGGACAGCAACTCTGTTTACACATCTTCATACGACTCCTCAATCCGCCGACTAGACTTGAACAAAGGAGAGTCCTACCAGGTGTGGGCGCCGTCGGATCACAATGAGGATCTCCCCATCTCAGCTCTTGACATGGCAGAGTCGAACCCCCATGTGTTGTACTTTTCTACACTTGAAGGCGGTGTCGGTCAGTATGACACAAGAACCTCCGATGACGCTGAAATCTGGACGCTTTCGGACCAGAAGATTGGTGGATTCTCTTTGCATCCTCTCCAGCCTCACTTGCTCGCGACTGCATCATTAGACCGCACACTTAAGATTTGGGATCTTCGCAAGATCACTGGCAAAGGGGACCTACGGCACCCTGCCCTACTTGGAGAGCATGGCTCGAGACTGTCTGTGTCGCACGCATCTTGGAGTCCTGGCGGCCATATTGCTACTAGCTCTTATGACGATACTATCAAGATCTACAACTTCCCTGACGCTTCGTCCTGGAAGCCTGGCCAGGATGTCAGCGTTGAACCTACCCATCAAGTACGCCACAACAACCAGACTGGTCGTTGGGTGACCATTCTCAAGCCTCAATGGCAGAAGCGGCCTCATGATGGGATCCAGAAGTTCGTCATTGGCAACATGAATCGTTTTGTGGATGTTTTTGCTTCAGACGGCAGCCAACTGGCTCAGCTTGATGGGGAGGGTATCACTGCAGTACCAGCCGTCGCACACTTCCACCCGTCTCGCGATTGGGTCGCTGGTGCAACATCCAGTGGAAAGCTTTGTTTCTGGCAGTGAGCCTCGGATTACCGGTTTCGAAAAGGGGTGCATGGAATCATCAGCATTTAAACGGGAGTTTTGGTTTGCTATATCTCGTGAATAATGGATCAGGTTGTCGGCAATGGCGGAACAGAATACGCGTTTGTTGGAGTAGTGTAAAATACGAATGTCCGAGTACGAGAGTCGAGGACTATGGGTCCCTTGTTTCAAACAATTGCTTTGATGTACTCCGTACATAGAGGCTGAGTCGGTCACGTTTTCGCGTTTGTGTGCAATTTACTGCTAGCCACTCAAGATTTCGCCCCAAAGTGAATGACAAGCCATGGCGTTCCTCTGACTCAGGGACCGAAACTTATCGCATGGACGTTCATTATGACGTGGATTCACAAACAGCTGATCCCTCTTCCCTGGGTGAGGGTCTTTATGGTCAGCATGGTAAGGGCACTATTCACATCATCTGGGCTTGATTTTCCACTTGACCAATGCTTGCATGTGATCGATTCACGGTGTTGAAGGATGAGCCGCCCGATTGGCGTCATTGCTTATCGATAACGGTGTCAGCCAATCATAAGCAAATTTTGACTCACAAGAGTGGGCAGTTCACAAGGGTTCCATTGTTTCCCCAGGGTATTTCCACCGCTCAAAAGGTCAGGTCCGCTAGCCGTCCCCTAAAACCCCACTGGAGATTCAGGCAGATTCACCTAAAAGCCTAGGCAGCGTCAGCCCCAGGGTCAGGTTCCTTCTTGATCAGGAATGCCGTGATCCTTATCTGGATCCATGCTTCGTTCGTTTCCTTGCGATCCGAACGTTTGTTCCTTCCAACTCCTCTTTATGTTTGTTTTTGTTCACCCACAGCAATAGCATTCGTACCGTAGCGTAACACTCACACAAGCCATTATTCACACGAACCCCGATACGCGCAGTGGATGGCATCAACTTCGAGTCGTATTGTTTCCCCACGATAGCACAGCGTTGACTGTTTGCGGCGCAAACCGGGTCCAGATTCATGACTGCATGACCACTCGCATCCCATCCTCGGACCGTGCCTCGAATTTAACGTTCGATCAAATTAGACTTCGCACAAAAAATCTTGAGGCGACACTTTCGTGAACCATCCCATCCTTCCGATCGCAATAGAACCACGACTGTAAACGATCGTTGACCGTCGCCCCGCTCGACTTGACCGGCCATCATGGCTTCCCAAGCTGATGATGCTCCGGCCCAAGCCAGCATTGGCGCGGAAGACATCAAGGAGCATGTCCACGAGGAACTTCATCGAAGGAAGCGGCAAGATTCCACCGCGACCGTGTTTCCCGAGCCTCTGCGAGAAAGCGATGCCGAAGACGAAGAAGAGGATGACACTACACAAGGTCCACCGATGTTCATGAACATGAACCAGAGCATATTTGGTCTTATTGCGACTGCTAGCTCTCGTGTCGACTTTAATGATCGATTCGATGGAATGAGTAGTGACGAAGAGGGTGAAGGATCATCATCACAACATAGCCGTGATCATATCGCACAAACATCGATCCTACAACCAGGAGGCAAGGGAAAGGACAAGGGGCACAGAAGGAAAAAGCTTTCGGAGCATAAGTTGTTGCGATCGCTACCTGCATTGCCGAAACTTCGTTCCCGGCATAAATCCCAGCCATCTCGACTATCTGCTCCGGTTGAGACTGCTGATGAATCCGACGTGGAAGACAACGGCACTTTGTCGCCTGCGCCGGCCCTTACGCTGACACGCCAAGATACTCAGGGTGTCATGAGTAGGATGTTGGAGGCCAAGGCAGACTTGTCTAGCAGGCCCAGCTTCGATTTGGACCGGCTATCATCTGATGTTAGTCGATCGAGTGATGGCGAGGTAGTCTCGGCTCTGGCCAAGAAGCTCAAGGAGATTTTCGAGTTTGATACATACGAGCAGGTCATTGAGGGTTTGTCAAAGCTGGACCTTCATCTTTTGGGTATGCTAACTGATCATAGAATACCCCTGCTGGCTGCTACAAAGTGTCCTTCTTCAAGGATACATGTACATCACTTCGAAGCATATCTGCTTTTACGCGTACCTCCCCAAGAAAGCGGTAAGTTATAGAGTCTGACTGCCAGATAGTTACTGACACCAAGCAAGAATGAGGCTGTAAAGTCAGGATATCTTTCGAAAAGCGGCAAACGCAACCCAAGCTACACAAGGTTTTGGTTCCGACTAAAGGGCGATGTTTTGGCATATTACAAGACTGCAACGGACGTTTACTTCCCTCATGGACAGATTGATCTGCGATACGGCATCTCAGCAAACATCGTGGATAAGGATAAGGAAGGTCTACATTTCACAGTTGAGACACATCATCGAACGTACAAGTTCAGAGCCGACAGCGCTCCAAGTGCGAAAGAATGGGTGAAAAGCCTGCAGAGAGTCATCTTCCGAAGTCACAACGATGGCGACAGCGTCAAGATCTCGTTACCGATTAAAAATGTGATCGATATTGAAGATACTCAGATGATTGCATTTGCCGATACTTGCAAGGTTAGGGTCATTGACAATGACGAGACATATGCTATTGACGAGGTAAGTGCCCAATAGTCTCGGAAACATTTCCACTAACAGCAGCTATAGTACTTCTTCTCCTTCTTCAGCTTTGGGAAGGACGCCATCAATGTGCTCAAGATCCTCATTGAGGCTTCTGCAGAGAGCCGGTCCGCGGAGAAAGCTGTGTCTAGCCGTGAAGAGAATGAGAGCTCTCAGTCTCCATCCGGTCGGACATCGATGGCAGCAAGCCGCCATCTTCCCCAAATTGACAGACTGCACACAGGAAAGCTTCCCGATACTGTGAAAGCCACGCTGGCTCCCATGTCGCCATTATCGCCTCATTCACCAAGCCAACTGAGCCCTCGAGCAAGTATGGACGCTCCACGCACAAGCTTTGACGGCTTCAGAAGATTCGGACGCAAAAGTATGGATGTGCCAAGCTCCATCGGAGACTTCAGCCCTCGTAGGAGCTTCAGCGGCACCAGACGATCCACGAGTCGTCATCAACACGGCAGCACGACTCCCAAACAGCAACAGGCTCAGGACTCTGGAGATTCGTTTGTTCATTCATCGATCGACAACCCAAGTATATCCACGCTATCACCGTCTTCATTTGAGGATGCATCCGCGAGCCAGATTCTTCAAGGAAGCGAGGTCTTTCACAGCCCAACGATGCGACGCTCTGCTTCGGCATCTAGAAAGCGCGACCAGTCTGGGAAGAAAACTCCTCGGAACTCTAGCTCTAATCAAGAGCGCCCTCGCCATATTCATCATGCCGCAACAACTGGCGCCATGCAGGAAATGGGTGGCGAAGTGCAGGAAATGGGTGGCGAAGCTAGTGATTCTCAGCGTCCAGTCACACCAACGCTCAACAGTATCACTAAGATTGGAGCATATCCCTTACAACGAGCTAACGCCTTCGCGGAGTATCTCAGTCGTACAAGCCAGCGTATGGGTTCTATGTTTGCGACCGAGTCACTGGGTTATGTGGAAAAGGTGCATGGAATGTGGAAAGGAGAACATAGACATTACGATGAGCCCCAGGAGCTCAAGACTGATGATGATGCCGATGATATCGACTCGGACGCAGAAGATAAGACACAGACCGCCATGGATCGATTCCGAGCGCACTTCACCTTACCCGAGTCAGAGAAGCTTATTGCAACGTACTTTGGGGCCATCTTCAAGGTCTTGCCTCTCTATGGAAAGTTCTATATCAGTGATCGATCATTCTGTTTCCGAAGTTTGTATCCCGGAACAAGAACAAAACTCATCCTACCTTTGAAGGATATCGAGAATGTCCACAAGGAGAAGGGTTTCCGGTTCGGTTACTACGGCCTTACGGTCGTCATTCGTGGTCATGAGGAGCTATTCTTTGAGTTTAGGCGACCAGGGCTCCGAGATGATTGCGCGGTGACGCTGCATCAACTCATGGAGACTAACCGTTTTCTTGAGAAGTCTGGTTTCCTTGACCAAGAGGAGCAAGACGAGGAAGAAGCTGCTGCTGCTATTGCGGAGCGTGACGCCCTCAAGGCTGCGCGACAGGACGAGTTTGTCAATCACGAGCTGGAACTACCTCGCGAGACCTCTGGAGTTTCGAACGCCCCAACGATATTGTTTGACAACCCCAATTCCTCCGGTCTTGCGTTCAAGCCACAAAAGTCGATGAAGATCACATGTCTCACCATCGGATCTCGAGGTGATGTGCAACCATACATTGCCTTGTGCAAAGGTCTTCTGGCTGAAGGCCACAAGCCTCGGATTGCCACACATGCGGAGTTCCAAGGATGGATCGAGTCACACGGTATTGAGTTTGCCCGAGTTGAAGGCGACCCTGGTGAGCTGATGCGGCTTTGTATCGAGAATGGAACATTCACTTGGGCTTTCCTTCGGGAGGCAAACTCGACCTTCCGAGGATGGCTTGACGAACTTCTTGACTCTGCCTACACAGCGTGTGAGGGTTCTGAACTTCTGGTTGAGTCTCCTTCTGCCATGGCTGGCATTCACATCGCTGAGAAGCTTGGTATTCCCTATTTCCGAGCGTTCACTATGCCTTGGACTAGGACACGAGCATATCCTCACGCTTTTATCATGCCTGAGCACAAGATGGGAGGCGCATATAACTATATGACGTATGTCATGTTTGACAACATCTTTTGGAAGGCTACGGCTTACCAGGTGAATCGATGGAGACGAAAGACGCTTGGCCTACCTAGCACCAACCTTGAGAAGATGCAGCCTAATAAGGTGCCCTTCCTGTACAACTTCAGTCCTAGCGTGGTCGCACCTCCTCTTGACTTTTCCGATTGGATTAGAGTAACTGGCTACTGGTTCCTCAATGAGGGAGGTGACTGGGAGCCGCCTCAGGAGCTTCAGGACTTTATCGCCAAAGCCAGGGCGGACGGAAAGAAGTTGGTCTACGTCGGTTTTGGTTCAATCATCGTCAAGGATCCTGCCAAGATGACACAAGAGGTCATCGACGCTGTTGTCAAGGCAGATGTTCGGTGTATTTTGTCGAAGGGCTGGTCAGACCGTATCTCACCGAAAGACGACCCGTCCAAACCTCGCCCCGAAGAGCCAGAGATGCCTCCGGAGATCCACGTGATTAAGTCTGCACCGCACGATTGGCTCTTCAGTCAGATTGATGCTGCTGCGCATCACGGTGGTTCTGGAACAACAGGCGCCAGTCTTCGTGCCGGCATTCCCACCATCATTCGTCCATTCTTTGGCGACCAGTTCTTCTTTGCTACACGGGTTGAGGATCTTGGTGTAGGAGTCTGGGTGAAGAAATGGGGCACCAACAGCTTCGGTCGAGCCCTCTGGGAAGTGACGCGTAACGAGCGCATGATTGTAAAGGCCCGTGTCCTTGGCGAACAGATCCGCAGTGTAAGTCTCCCTCGTTTCTCAGCTTCACAGATCACTAACATTCACAGGAATCGGGCGTCGATAGCGCCATTCAGTGCATCTACCGCGATCTCGAATACGCCAAGAGTCTCATCAAGCGCAACGCTGGCAAGGCCGCACAACACGATGCAAATGAGGACGACGACACAGAAGAGAGCTGGACATTCGTCGGGAGAGATGAGCCAGATCCCGACGCCGTGACGAAGAAGCTGAGTGAGGGCTTGGTAGACACTGAGAAGCCGCTGTCTTTGGGAAGTCAGGCGCCTTCAACTGCTGCGGCATGATGAACTTGCTGCTACGAACTGTTATGTGTGGGGTTTTCTTTGGTGATTTCATCTGGTTGTTCACTTGTTCTTCTGCATTTGGGTGATGGCTTAATTATGGGCTTTTGGATGATTTGGAGTCTGGATGGACTGCTTCCGAATAGACGTATGATCTAGAAGTCATAGACTACGTATGAAGATAACACTACTTCGTCTTGGAAACTGATAATCGAGTTCTGATGCTCTGACTTAGACGATGAGTAAGGCCGGCAAATTGGCATCTATGCGTAGCTTGTCGCCACGCAGCTCAGCACTGTGATCGCAGGCCTCAGCCGCCAACATGGAGTTTTCGCTAGAGTTTATCCCCCCTTGATTAAGTATTTTCTAAAGCGCTCGTACCAGATTTTATTGAGTCAAAGTACGCCCTACGTCTTGTTTCGCCTTCAACGCAGAGAGAGTTAAGAGTTCGGATAGCGATCTCGAAAACCTTATGTGAACTCTACGAGACTTTCATCGGCAAGTTCTCAAGTACGGTTCAACATAAGGATCAGAAGACCCTTTATTCTTGTTACTAAAGGTTCCTTTGACATCCACAAAGCTTCTTTCACTGTGTGCAGTATATATTCTCCCAAGCTCCTCCACTTCTACTTCTCGGTCACTTTAACCTCCATCAACCACATCATTCAAGTTCAAACACCCCGCACACATAAAACAAAATGACAGGCTGGAACTCGCTGCCTCAAGAGATTCGCAGCATGATCTTGGGATGGGTCGTTGTTCACGACCATATCGCGCCCTATGCTCCCGTCTCGATAGAATGGCGGGATACCATTGAGAAAAAAATCTTTCAGCACCTTCGTATTCACGCTTCCACTTCGGATGCTCGTGGCAGCACACCGACGGTATTTCACAGACTTAGCCAGCTGTGTGATCGACACAGACGACTCATCAAGCATATATGGCTCAACGTTGAACTTGCCAAGCGGAATAGTGATGGGTCGTGGATTGACCACAAGGAGCATGCTTACATTGGTGCTGCTATAACACGGCTATTCCGGGCCTTGCAATTCTGGCCGGCACAGGACGACTTGACGCTAGGCATCGGTGTGTATGAACCTATGAATGACTTGAAGGAGTGGTTCAGGGGGCTTCACATTGAATTTCCCGCGGAACAAGACCCAGATATGTCTCGTTTGTCAGATTCTCAACTCAGAAGCTTGGTAACGGTATCATGCACTTCACAACGGATTTTACTTGGATGCTTCGCCTTCAAGCTACAAGTCTGTCCCTCTGTCCGAGCTGTGACAAGGTTTCTTCTTCCTCGACAGTGCCAACGTCGACTTGCGCCAGCCGCTCTTTCCTGCGTACTCGAGCGACTTCCCAGGCTGGAAGAGATTTGTCTTGAAAGTTGGGAAGCCTCAGGGGTTTATGCAGCCGATTACCTAGACAGGTATGAAAGAGACCTGTTCTTACGACCTAGTCACTTCAAGAATGTCAAATCGATGACAGTTTTCCGAGATCGTAATGAGTACTTTAACACGGTATATCGTCGCCAAGAAGCTGAGTATCGGCGCCGTTTCGCACTGGGCGCGACTCAGCCAGACCAGAGTTTACGGGATCGACCAGCACTTGCTCGAGAATTCGCTGTAGCAAGTCTTTCCCTAGAGAATCTTTCCGTTTCTTTCATCGTTGACGCCGTCGACTTCTTTGGCCAGTGTCAAGAAAACTGGCTCTGGGCCGGATTGCGTTCCCTTACACTGACATCCCGACATCTCACCTGTGACGGTGACTCTTCCGAGATCCATGGACAGTTACAAAAAGCTGCGCAAATGGCCAAGCGCATGCCAAAGTTGGAGAGGCTGATAATATGGAATGGTGGAGCCAATGAAGCGTGTGCCTTTACATATCGCAAGCAGCAACACAGTGCTTCAGTGACGTGGCAGGCAAAGGAGGGTACAAAATTGAATCCCGCAGTGTACAGTACTTGGGAAAACATACATCCTGGATGTTTTCTCCATTTCAGGGAAAAGCATACTTGGCATTCGATTACTTCCGATGCCGATGCTATCATGTGCTTGGGGTTGGAGCATGTGGTGGATAATGTGTCATTGGGACAGATGCAGCTGGGACAGATGCAGCTGGGGGATAGTATGCCTTGGGTGAATTCCTGAATAATTTGTCGGATTTTCATTTTAAAGATGGAGGCATTCAAATATCTCAGCTTATTGTATGTCAACAACACGTGAGGAGGAATGCTATCCTCATCGTCTGAAGTAAAGTTACTCGCATGCAAGAAGCAAGCTCGATTTCCTACCCGCCCTAGACTGGACTGTGATGGGAGGTTATTCCGTGATAGAGCTACCACGAAATCACGGAGCTGCGGAAGGTCTAGAAACACCGAAGATATCTCAATAGTTGATGGCGGCTATTCCAATGCTGCTCTTGCACGTGATAAGACGTGAGAAAGGTGGACTATTGATGCACCTGCTCGATCTATGTTCGTCGGCAGCCAGTTCTGAATCGTAAATCCCTCTTCAGATGATTCGTTGTCAGATAGACTCTTCATCATCAGCGTCTTCGTCTTCTCTCTGCATATCCTCACCAGTGGCGATCTCAGTCTCTTCATCACTCTCGTCATCCTCCTCCTCAACATCCCATTCCATCGCCTTCTCCCCGTACATCTCTCTGTAACTCTGTTCTGTGATGGGCAGCACCGCATCCCCATTGTCAAACCTCCTCAACTTCAACTTCGCCGCCTTCAACCACCATCTCTCCAAGAACTCGTCCTCCAACTCCACAAAATGCGGATTTCTCTTCACCATACGAACTTTTCCGTGCTTCTTCCCGGTCGGGTCATTCCTTATTTGTGACTTGTGCAGCAAGTCATCAAAGATAGGGCAGTCAAACCAGGGCGAGCTGAGAAGCACATCGCGCCAAAGACCATCTTCATGGGCTTGCTGTGTCTCCTCGAGATGCTGGGAGTGCGTGATCTCGCGCTACCAGGCCAGCATACCGTGCATGTCGTGGAATTCCCATAGTTGTTCGTTAGGAGCGTTAATGTCTTTATATCGGCGGTTGGATCGGTCAAGAGCAGTCCAGAAGAAGAATTGGATGTGTTCGGCCTTGTACTCCCGGATGTTGGGGCTGCTACTGAGGGTCTTGAAGATGCGTACTCTGCTGGTGGCCGCAAGCCAGTCTTCATCTAGAATAGATGTTGATGGGACGATAGGGCTCTTGTTGTTTGGGTAGGGATAGAGGTCTAATATCGGGGTATGGCTTTTGCGCCATATCGCTTCGATGTTGCCTGGGGGGTCTGGCCTGTAACCTTCAGGGATATGATCCTCCATCGTGAAGTCCCTGTTAAGAAGTTACTGAGGTCCCGTTATCTGAGGATTCTTGCAAGACATTTTTATAGTCGCAATCTCTGCAGGTCTACTCTGTGAAGCAAACGCCTTCGTTGGCAAACGCCGTGAAGTAGCATTGATGGTCGGCAAAGGCACAGTAGTTATCGTTTATAAAACATTAAACAATTGCAAGGCGAGACTCAAACGGAACTAAGTCGAAGCTAATGTTTTCATTCATCAAACATGAGCAAATAACAGAGAGTGATTCTGTCGCATAGAGATAAAGCCGTCACTGTAAGCCAGCTGGTCAAGGGGCAGCTGTGAAAGGATGACAATAAATAAACATGATTCCTCGAGACACAAACATGTTTACATCCATTGTTTCTATGAATCACTCAAGCACAAAGACACAAAGACAAAGCAAACGGCCTCGATTGCTTCAAGGCAATGGGAATGAATACCTTCACTTGCTAATCCCTACAAATCTACTGGCCAATCCGCTTAGTAACCCATTTTAGCGGTCCAGCTCCCAAAGCTCCCCAGTCACCTTACGTAATCGGTCAAGTCTGTCAACCGGAATTGACTGGCAGCTCAATTCAATCAATCACCTCACAAACAGAAGACTGCCCAACGCGACAGCAAACGACGAGCCCGCCCGCACGAGGGACGATACGACAGTAGCGACATTCGAGACCAGCGAGCGACATTCATATTTGCCCAGCATGCCTCAAGATATGCCCCCTCGGGGCGGGTACGAACCCGTCCAGTACAAGGTGCGTTGGAAGTTTACGGGAGTGCAACTGGGGAGATTTGTTGTTTGAGAGTGTTTGGGGAATCAATTGGCTCGGGAAACCTTTCTTGAAAGGGTTGGAGGGGTGCCACGATCGATTGCGAGGGCTGGGAAGACATTGAGCTGTTGCAAGCAGTTGAAATGGACGTTTATCTGACTTTCTACAGCGAAACCTCCCCGCCAAGGGTTTCCGTCCCGGTATCCTTCTCCTCGGAATGGGCGCTGTCATGGGCTATGGCTGGTATAAGCTGATCGGCGGCATGCGCGAGGCCAAGTACGTTATCTCTCCCCTAGCCGAACCTGCATCTACAACAAAACAATCCGCACTCTGCAAACACCCTACGACCACGATTGCTCGCACGGAAAACAACGATGTGGAACTTAATACTAATAGCTATCAGCGAACTCGGCCGTGAAAAGATGTGGGCTCGCATCAACCTCATTCCCCTCCTCCAAGCCGAAGAGGACCGCGATCAGGTCCGTCGATACCTAGCCGACCAGAAGCGTGAGAAGGAGCTGCTCGGCGACAATGCCAAGGTTTACAACAGCGACCGGTCAGTTCTCTCACCAAGAGGTACCGTTGGTAGGGAATATGCTAACACGGGGCAGATTCGTGAGGCCGACTTTCGCTGTTACACCCCCTCCTACTACAAACTAAACGGTGGAAAGACGCAAGCTTGTATATATGTTTTAACAAAGTGGTTTTACCTGGAATTGAAAGGTCACAAAGAAGACACTGCTATCTCAACTGTGACTACTTGACACTCTCGATCTTCTCCTCTGTCCACTCCCACAACTTCTTGCCCAAGTCTTCACTGAAACACATATCATCCCCTTTGTTTGCTTTTCCAACCGGTTCATAAAACGCCACTGTCTCATCTCTCTTGACATCACCGGCCGCAGCCCAAGCGGTGTTATATCCACCCTGCTCAACCGTCATCATAGATGGGTTGGTAACATACACAAACATTCTCTTCCAGAACCCCAGGCCTGTGACCAAGTTTGTAGCAATAACACCGGGATGGACAACAACGCTCTTGATGGCGGGGTATCGTCGCTCCAGTTCCTTGGCTAGGACGATGTTGGCGAGTTTGCTCTGTCCGTAGCGACTCCATGTTCCAAAGGGTAAGTGTTCTTGGAGTGAATGGAGTGTCTCAAATTCGATGCCTTTCTTGGGATGGCCTGCATATCCGAGTGATGTAACACTAACAAAACGAACTTCACTCTTCTCGGCGGTTTTCTGCATGATTGGCAAAAGAGCCATCAAAAGCGTCGTATTGCCGATATGATTGACACCAAACTGCAACTCAAGTCCATCCTGAGTAAGCCCATCAACAGCCATGACTCCCGCATTTGCGATGAAGATATCCAATCGATCATGTGTGAACTTCTTCGCTGCGGAGCGCATGCTTGCAATGGACGTCAGATCACATTCGAGGAATGTTGCAGGAACAGGGGAGATGGAGGATATGAGAGACGATGCGGCAGTTAAGGAGCGCCCGGTGAAGTAGATGTGAGATGGATTATGAGAGGCAAGGGTCAGGATAGCAGAGCGACCCAAGCCGGAAGTTCCTGGCGTCTTGTTAGTGTGTGGTTACGGAGAAGGATGAAGGAGACGAACCGCCGGTGATGAGGATGACTTTTCCGGCGAGAGAGGGAATGTCGGTTTCTGGATTGAAGCCTTTGAATGATGCCATGATTGCTATGGATCGTGATTTCAGAACAAAAACAAAAAGTAATGGGATAGATAAAGAGGTTGTGTTGATTCAAGTGGTTGTACGAATGTAACAAGAGTTGCTGCCATACTCAATCAAGGGACGACTCGTCCTTCTTATACATATTTCCCTGTCTCATCGTTATTCCCCCGTGTGCAATTCTAATTACAAAGCGACACACTAAACGTCATGACTTTGTCGTTCGGCAAGTGTCTTTCCAAGTGAAGCGGCATGATAAATCCCCGATGTGAGACGGGTTTGTATAGTAGCTATCACTAACCCGCTCAAGCCCAGACTGCACCAAATGTTGTTAGTGCGGGATAGTCGACCATCCCTGTCTCTCCAGCAAAAATCGGTGACAAGATCTCCGGTGGAGCGTAATCGATTTCAAGCCTCAAGCCTCATCCGCTCAGGGACAAAGAAGCAAACATGGCACACAATAGCTCACATGTTTCACAAGACCACTCATCAGGATAATGGATTAGACACAGCAACGTGCTTGTAAGACTTGATTGCCCTTGCCTCGGGGTATTACATAGCATAATTACCAGTACAAATCTTAACCCAACCAACTCCCTACCGTCATGTGCACGCTTCTATCTCCATTTTACTGATGTAAATGTAGGGTAAAATTATCCTATTCCATATCGCGCCTGACTCCATCCCCGAGGTTTCAAGTCTTCAATTCGCCAATAATGCTTCTCATATATCAGTCCGCCATCAACTCTGCTAGCAACTCTCTCTCCAACTCATCCTCATCAAAATCTGCCCCATCGTCAACATTCACCAGAGGCTCTTTGTCTCGATCCACCACATCTTCGTCGCCTGTTGGCACTGGTGTAGGTAGACTTCCATCTTCTGTATCTTGGTCGTCACCGTTTGGCGTTTGTATTGATCGGAGACCAGAGGCGCCCCTATTCCGAGCCAGACGCTGCTTCTTGGCCAGGACACTTTCGCCGAGATTTGAGCCATCGTCGTCTGACTCATCGGCATCAGCCTTACGTTTGATGCCTTTCGAGTTCTGACCGTCCACGGATTCTACGTCTGATTCAGTAACTGTGGGGGCGATGCTCACGTCGCCATCGTCGCCCAGATCATCATCCAGGAACTCGGCCAGTTCATCTTCAGCTTCTCCCCAGTCGAAGTCCCTTAGCTCTTGCCCCGTCTGTGCATCTTCAGCTTCGTCGGCTTCCGATGTAACTTCGGTTGTGTCATCCTCTCCCTTCTCCCTATCTGCATCGAGAATTTCTAAAAAATAGGGTCGCTCGTCAAGTCGCCTCCATTGGCTTAGGCAGTCGGTGAGCCAGTTTTGGTTGACAATT